ACTGGCAGTTAAAGGGTTAAAATCCTGAACATAAGTTAACATTTGGTATTTTTGATCAGGACTGAAGTTGATTGAAAGATTTAACCCCAAAAAAGTTTTTTAAAATATTAATCTGTTGTCATTTTAGAGCAGTTTTTGGAAGTGGACATTTTTGTCCCGAATGACTAATTTGTAACTTTTTTGTTCAATCTGATTTTGTGCAAAAACTAATAATGCAAAAAAATCCATTTTGTTGCTAATCTTTGACATATCCAAGACTGTTATTAAAAAAAAAGAGCCAGTCCCCAGATATGTATTTTTTGGAAAATAACTAATTTTCTCTGTTTTCATCATGAAAAAAAACAGCGGTTTCATGTATTCAAAATGGCATTTAAAGGGTTAAAATCCTGAAAATGATTACATTTTTAGTATTTTTCTATTAGGGCGGAAGTTGCTTTAAAGATTGAACCCAAAAAAGTGGTGAAAAAAACCTTTTAATATAATGTTTTTATCAAAGTCTTTTGCAGTGGACATTTTTGTCTCGAATGACTAATTTGCGTAGTCCAATCGAATGATACCGGAGGGTTAATGTAAACTTTCATTTGTTCATTTGTTATAGTTTACACGTTGTCTTCGGAGAAAGAGAGAGAGGGAGAGAATACAACTTCAAAAGACATCAGTATGTTCGTGGCCTTATTTATTGGACCGGTGTAGCTGCTGCACCAACCTCTTTAAACATCCATGTTTATAACACAGACACATGAAGCTGTTTATAAAGTCACCACAACATCAACACAGCTCCTCTATACAATAAAACCAAGCCTGACATTTAGATGAAATCCCTTTAACAGCACTTTTCTACTTCAGTAATGACAACAAGAAGTTATGGGACACTTTGATAGCTCTTTAAAATTAGCTATAATAACGATAACACACATTACAATGAATATGCACACATGTATAAGACAGTGGCGAGCCGTGACTTTTATACCTAGGCCCTCTGACCCCCCTTCCCTCTTGGAAAAAATAAGAGTTATTACGTCACAGCGTATACTTCAGCGGAATATCAAAACAGTGGTCCGGGGTGCAAAACGCATCAATGACAGCGACCCTCTACCACACAAAACAACACCATTTATATAAACACCTATCATGACAGGGCTCCCACAGCCAAGTACCAATTACAAATGAATTAAGTCGGCACGGCGGCCCGCATTGAAAATGACTTAGGCCTACCTTTGATGATCAAATCACTGAAACACAAAGTCCATCCTCCTGTCCTTTTGGATGAAGCACTTGCGGGTCATTCAACGATGTCATCACTATCACTGAAGTGAGCCATCATGAACAAACTTATGCTAATCATAAATCTATCGATTAGATTTATGATTCGAAAATAATAAAAGTAGGGTAGACATGTGGATATTATCCGGCTGAACAAAACGTGCATTTATCTAACAGGTTCGTTTTCCACAGACCTTATTTCAAGCTATCTCCCAAAATCCTATGGAGAAATCCCACTGCTTTCTGTCGAGGGAATCCGAGCGAAGCTTACTTCCGGGTTTTAGGACGCGTCACTGCACCACTTGCATAGACTTCACAGCGGGCGGAACTTGTCATAAAGTCCGCGAAAATAAAGCCCGCCCATTTAGAGGGAAGATATGATTGGTCAATTGTACTGTCATTTGACATTACTCTCTCGTTGAGTTAGGCCCATTCCCTAACCGCCCCCTACACCCTACCCCTCCGTTTGCACGTTCACGCGGAGGGTCCGCCATATTGAGGGCTGTTCCAAAGCAACGAGTGTGGAGCGGTGTGGAGGGGGAGTGGGCTATCAAGCCCTCAAACAGCGAGTCTGCAGCGGTGCTGACTTGAGACCGGTCTCTACCTGACCGGAGTCACGCTGTGTGTGTCCGTCAGGAAACACGCTGTTTACAAGTAGTTCCAGCAAACATCCACTGATAAACTGCGATGTTAACAACCTCATGATAACCTCATATGTTTTTAACTTAGGATCATACCTGTGTTTAGTCTAGAAAAAGGTAAATGTGTGCATTTTATTATAAAGTTGTGTATATTTACAGACCGTTGCAAAAACTAAGAAGCTTATAAACATTAGGTTTAAAACTAAAAGAGCTTTGAAACACAATGAAAGATGTTTGGAGTTTTATTTGAGTTATTCATTTAAACTTTTTGTCTAAGACAGGGGTGGGGAACCTCCGGCCCCCGGGCCGTATACGGCCCGCGAGACCATTTGGTGTGGCCTTCGAGGTAATTTATAAACACACGCAAAAAAGATTTAAAAAATAATTAAACAAGTGAGTGCCTGTTTTTCCTGGCCAATGTCAGGGTCCTTGAACACAACACACGCCTAACGTGTCATCACGTGGTATATGTCTCGTCTGACAGGGGTGTAGTTCTGACGGAGAGCACCAGAACGCAGCTCCGCTCCGGCACTTCCAAAAATGGCAGTACCCATAAGGAGCCGTACACATGCTGCAGTTTTTGCGTGGCTGTGTCTTTAGCTGAAAGCCCAGTGGCGATCTGTTCATCTGTCACACTGATCATACAGACAGTCAATAACTTTGTTGTTATTAGCATCTGGTTAGCTAGCTATGCTAACGAATATAAGAAGCTTTTTCTCCAACCAGTGAGGTAAAGGCACATCTTTATATGATCATTATAGTTATAAAAAAATAAGAGAATAAAGTAAACAGGTATAAAATACTATATGACAGTAAACAAAAGTTTTGTTTTTTTTAATTAATAAACAAGAATACAGTTTGAAAGGAGAGTGATTTGTAAATATCCATAAAGAAAATCTGCTTACAGTTCTGTTCCATATGGGTGTTGAGAGATGTATCCATAGATCTACTAATGTTGCTCTCAAAGTGCACCAGATTGATGCTTTTAACTTCAACATTTAAAAAAAAATCTTCCCGGGGGAGCTTGCCCGCCCGGACCCCCCAAGAGGAGGTTAGGTCCCCCCCCCACTTAAATCATGTTCACATGGATAGGAAACTAAATACATTTGCACACATCTTGTGTCCATATCTTTCTGTTTGGGTGGTCATGCCACAACCGTGCACGTGCATCAGTGACGTGCGGTGAGGTTCATGGCTGGTGAGGCACTGACTCTTTCAGAGTCAGATTTACAAATATCATATTTTGACCTTAATCGACATATTCGATTATTTTCAAAAGCTTTTTTAGTCTGATGCTTCGATTCATTTTAAACAGACCGTTCAACAAAAGGATACCCACAATCTAAATATTGGATTGTTCTTTCTTAGTAAGATCCCATTTTCATTACAATTGGGGTCTTACCTTGACTTGAAGATGAAGTCCATGCTCTCCTTCTGGACAACAATCTCTATTACTTTTTTGTAAAAGTCCTCCTTATCTTCCTGTCGTTTCAAAAGTCTAGTTTGTTGTTTGCGTCGCGTCTACCGCCATGGTCTACCCATGGATGTATAATAAGAACGGGTCTACCCCGTCTCTACGTAGAATAACAGTAGCAACAAGAACCTGTGGGCTCACTTGCGCCCCCTTCAGTGCGGCAGAGGTTATGGCTGCCTCCCCTGGTGCTTTTTTCATTGCCGTTGTATGATGAGCCCAGCGAGCCTAAATATCATATATACGTGAAATAAGTTATTTAGAGACTATGGATGGCGAGGATAAATGTAATAAAGGGATCTACAAACATTACATTGGTGACATACAGTGAGATGGTGCAGGCATGCGCTTAGGGCCCGCTTTCCAGCCAGTTTCTGTGGGGTGACGCATTCTGAGGTGAGGCAGAGCTCATCTGTGCCTCACCTCACCCCACAGTAACTGGCTTGAGCGCGCTCACAAAATAAGTGCCCGCGTTAAATTAGTGCCCGCGCTCCAGCCAGTTACTGCGGGCTTACGAGAGGCAGAGCTCGTCCCTGCCTCACTTCTCATCGCTACCCGTAGTTGTAGCGGAGGAGCTCTGCAAATGTGCTGATTTTGACTATAAAAAGCGATTGGAATCATACAGAAATCACATTTACAAGTTACAACACAGATCAGTGGAGACATTTTATTATTATTACTATTTAGTTTTTTCTTTAGTTGTTTTTCCGTTACATTGGAGTATGACAGGTGAGGCTCTGCCTCCCCTGCCTCCCCTGACTGCACGTCGCTGACGTGCATGCATGCATGCTTTTCCTTTACACAGCATGAAAGAAAGATTTTAGTATTTTTAAGCAGAGGTCAATAATTTGTACGGCCCTCGGAGGATGTTGAAAACATTGAAATGGCCCTTGAGAGGAAAAAGGTTCCCCACCCCTGGTCTAAGAGATGCTGATTTGAAACCGTTGTTACACACAGTTATGGCATTTCCTGTTTCTGCCGGAGAGGGTAGGCCGTCCCAAAGCTTGCTGCTGTGTTTACTCCCTCCATCTGACAGGAGGGAGCCTCCTTGAGCTGCGAGTGTGGCTACAGACGGAGTTCACTCCGTCACGGAGGGGTAGGGTCGAGGGAGTTGTTTGGGATTGGGCCTTACTATAGCGGGCCCTCTGTGAATGTAGAGAGGGACCAACAAGCTCTCTCGTCTTCACAGTAACTCGCAGAGACGGTTTTAAACCCTTCACATTCAAACAGAAACTGAACAGGCAGATTCGAAGGATTTATTTCTTTGGAAATATTATTTTAAATACAATTAAATCAAGTTATTTTGGTAAAACTAATGAAAAATGTAACAACAAAAAAATGTAAAAAATAATATTTAAAAATGATTAGGCCTATTATTTTTTTTATGTTTTAAAATATAATTTTTTTAGAATATCTTAGGCCCTCACAGAGGGCCTAGAGGGCCCTGACGGCTCGCCACTGGTATAAGATCATATTAATGAGAGAGACGTCAACACCTTGTCAGTCTATGGTCAACACTAAGCTAGTTAGCTAACGTTAGCTCCACTTGACTGAAACCAATGCATTCTGCTGCTAACGTTAGCATTAGCTTTAGCATAACAAAGCAGTTGAGAGCAGCTTCTTACCGTCTTCCTGTCCCAGTGTAACTCCACATGTCAGCAGGAAGAGAAACTGAAGACCGACACCAAACATGTGTTCCCTCTGGAACAACACTAGTTGACAGAGAGTACACTTAGCTCACTGTGAATAACTATATTTGAAGTTAAATGTCAGAAATATGTAGAAGTAAACATCGTTAGGCTATTTCCTGTTTCTTCTGACTGAAACTGAAGGGAGGAGTTTTGAGTTTTCTCCTGTGACTCACTGTGGGTGTGTTTTTTTTAATGTATTTATTTAACCTACAATTGTAACGGAAAACATCATTAACAGCAGCTTTGTAGAAGCCAGCAGAGGTGGAGGAAGTACTCAGTACTAATGTATTGAAGTAAAACCATCAATACTACAGTCTAAGAAGAATACTGAGTTACAAGTACAAGTCCTGCATTCAAAATAACACTAGAAGTAAAAAAAAAAGCAATAGCATTTATGTAAAATAGCCAGTTCTCATTACTTAAAGTAATTGTTAGTCATTACATTCAGAAAAATAGAATATATATTAATGTATACATTTGAATATAAGATTATTATTTTTAAATGACCACTAGAGCTTGGTATTATTGTAAAAGTCACTAAACATTTATTATTATCATTTATCTATTTCTAAAGATATGTTTCACTTATCAAGATAACGTTATTTCAATTAAAGCTTTCCTTGACAACATTTTTGCATTTAGGAAGAATCCATAATGTCAATAACAACAGTTTCACCAAAACATCAGAAAGGTTCATAGATATTCCTAAAACTGTAAGGCTTCTTTAATCTTGCAATCTGTAATTGATCTGTTATCATGAAGTGCCATGTCATTAAATAATCCTATAAACGTAGAAGACATGAGAAATAAACCTTTGAGAATGTAATATATTGCCAATATAATCAAATGATTATTTCCAAATATCCTCACAGCAGCTCCACGTGCAACATGAACACAGACAGATACCAAGACAAGAGACAAGGAGACTTTTAACAGAACAAACGATCGCTGAAGACAACATGGAGAAGACCCTCTGATCTGATCTGGGATTTCACTCTGAGTTCATTTCATTCACTGATTCTGTAGGAGAGGTGTTCCCCTCCTGGTCACTGCCGAGGTGCCCTTGAGCAAGGCTGCACGCTGCCCACTGCTCCCAGTACTAAGATGGGTTAAGTGCAGAGGTTCAACTCCCTGTGTGTGCATGGGTTTCATCCTCTAATTCTTCTACTCGTACCTCACACTGCTCTGTAACCTTTACTCATGTCTTTTAAACCTGTGTTATTCATGTGTTGTGTTTATTTGATTCTCTTTGCTCTGTAATGACTGGTTTTAAATTACATGTTATAATGTGTTTCTTAATGTCTTTCTTTTATAAAGCCCTTTGAGGTGCCTTGTGTTGAAATGTGCTGTATGAATACACAAAGTAGACGTTCAGTGTAACCTTATATTCACAGAGATCTGGGGAGGCTGCTTTCTGTTTCTATGGAGCAGCTTCCCATTGGAGCTTTTAAAGTAGATTAAAGACCCATGTTTTTATGTTGGGGTCATTGTATTGGTCTCACTGATCATGTTTGATGGCTCTGTGATATCAAACTGTATTTTTCAGTTAAAGGAATTGTATAAATTAAGAATAATGGGACTATATGAAGCAGAATGTGAAGAAGTCGATGTACTCTGGTCCTGCTTCGGTACATGTTTGATGTGATGTCTGTTCTTTATTTACAGGTCCCATTGTTATTATTATGATGCGCCGCTCTCCGCCGTCTCCTCCAGCAGGACTCAGGTGAGGGTGTTGCACTTTTCCTTTCCCTTACATGTGAGGTTTCAGTGTTGGTGTGTTGTTTCTTTCCGTTAAGTATTTCTTGTGTTTCTCTTATTCTCCTAAGATACTGTTTGGCTGTGAAAAAGAAATATGAAGGACAGACCATCTATTTCTATTTATTTAGAAAGGGGCGTGTCATATGAGATTATCTTCTTCTCCCTGCTCCTTTTCGGTTAACGGGGTGTTTACAGACATGTTATGTTTATTATTATACATGAAGTTTTGCATACCATGAACGGAACAAAATGAAATATAACCCTTTGTTTGTTTATAACTTGTTGTTAATAATGTCCCTCACTCTTTGTGTCGTCTCTGTAAAGCTCTTTGGGCTGCATGTTGCATGAAAGGTATAAATAAAGTGTATTATTAGTGAGGGTTGCCATGTGTCTCAAAACGCTTACATCTTTACACAGATCGTGCGAGTATGTCTTCAGAGTTTTGTTTTGACTACATTACTGAAAAACAGTCAATTACTTTGATGTAAATGTTTTTATTGATGTACCGTGTTTTACCGAACTCAATTCAATTCATTACATGTGTCTGTAAGGCAAGGCAAGGCAAGGCAAGGCAAGGCAAGGCAAGGCAAGGCAAGGCAAGGCAAGGCAAGGCAAGGCAAGGCAAGGCAAGGCAAGGCAAGTTTATTTATATAGCACTTTTCAACACAAGGCAATTCAAAGTGCTTTACAAAAAATGAAAGAGATTAAGAAGTCTGTAAAGTCTTTAGTGAGACAGGTGTTGCATCGGAGAAACACAGTACAATAAACCATGACTCACACGTGCACTCATATAACACAGGTACAGGGTTAAGTGATTCCTATTCAGTTCTCTTAACAAAAGCAGAAGTGCATTTCTTAGATGGGCATCAGGCATTACGGGCATCAGGCATTACAACAGGTTCATTTTTGGCAGATAATACACTCAGATAACACATGATAACATGTTCAGGAGCATTAGCTGAGAGCAAAGACAAGAGAAACTGAGAATATTAAAAAGGCACATATTTCATCTGCAACTTAAAGAAATCCCCTCAATAAGTCTCACTGAGGAGAGAAACGTGTGTAACGACATGATTTACAGTTAAATTATCCCCAGACATGTATATTTAATACATTCATTAGGACATCAGTCAAATAACAAATCCAGAATGACAAACACTTGATGGCTAAACTACATTTCATAGCTTTGATCACTCGGTATACAAAACAATGCTGTGTGGAAAAGAGGTTACGGTTTTTCACCTGGAGTAACTCTTGTTTAACATCAACCTTATTCTAACTGGTCCCTCAGAAAGGCTTTTGAAGGTCTGCACCAGGTGAGGACCTGAATGTCCTCTCACTCAGGAAACTCAGGTTGTTCACACACCTTTTCATCAGATGTAACGCTAACACTCAGCTGACTGCAGTGGCAGCTTTGAAGCATCTTTATCAGGATCGTTTGTCCCGTTAGACGGTAGGTTGATCTCCTCTTCTCCCTTCAGAGCAGAATCTGCAGCAGAGAAGATAAAAACATATATTACATAAAGTCAACTTTGATACAACCCAGAAATGTTATTTATAACCCAAACCAAACATGTCCATGTTGGTAGTGTGTGTTAGTTATTGACTGAATGTTCTTCAGCAGGAATGAATGTGTGATTGACAGATGAACCCTGAGGACCATCAGACTCTCATCTGCAGTCTGACTGATACTTTTATTTATACTATGTTCACTTCTCATTCAGGTAGTTCTCTATTTTCACTGCTGTAAATTAATCACACATTCAGTCGTATGGTATCATCGTTTATATATTGATGTTTGTGGGGTCAATAAATCAACCTGATGTAAACACTAACACAATGAAGCACATCTGAGAAGACACAGAGACAACACTCTGGTGTCTGCTAATTAAAAATAAATACAAATTATGTTTTTAACTCACCTTTATTGTGGAGTATTTTGATGCGCTTTGCAAATACAAGCAAAGCCAGAACTACAGCAAGATTTACAGCTCCCAAAACGAATGAAGTGATGCCAACCATAAGCATGCTGTAGCCTTCCTTACACTCCATCTTTTGTTTCTCTGAAAGACATATTCAAATATATAAATGTACCTTTATCTCACAATTAAAGACAATTAAAATCATTTTAGATCCAAACTCATCTCACCACTAATGAACACAAAGGTCTGAGCAGAGACCCGATGCTTGATGTCCTCCTGAGAGACCACACAGCGGTAGAGGTCTGTCCTGGTCACATTAACGCTGAGAGAGATGAAGACGTGGTCGTGGTCTTTCTCTGGGACTCGTTTCTCCTCAGCTTGGAGTCTGTTTCCATCTCCGCTCTGCCACTCTGCTTTAGTGTTTAGAGAAGCACCAGGAACCTCACACTGCAGAAGAGCCCAGTCGGCTGTGAGAGTCGTGACGGACGGCTTTGGAGTTGCAGCTGTGAACATGTTAAACACAACAGCTAAGGAAAACAAATGTGTCTTGCAGTCTGGTAAAACAGAGAAACATGCTCAGACTCACTCAAGTACAACAAACATTTACAGCCAACTTCAACAGGAAACCTCACTATTAAATACCATCATTTCAAGTCAATAAAATCATTTCAAATTATATTGGGAGTCGAGTCATTAGTTTGTTTGTGCAGCGACTTTGTCATTATGGGGGAAAAGACACCCTTCAGGATGATCAAGATCACAATGGAAGAGAGCATGTGGCAAACTCCTGAGTTCATTAGCAGGAAAAAACAAGGTTAGAAAATTGGGTGGAAAAGGAATCGGAAAACAGCAGCCACTTCTTCTAGACAAAAATATAGAATTTGAATGTTTAGTATGTGCAACACATTCCCTCCTGCGTTAGAGAGAGGAACAGTTAAAACAACCTGTAGGTGGATATTAGGTTAAGAGTAGCCACACAGTTATGTTCATCACAATGTGTCAGTAGAGAAGTCTTGTCTTGTCTTTTTGTCAACAACTGTGTAATTGGTTAGGTATCAGTTAGTGTTAATTTTGTCAGCTATTTTTTTATTTAGTTTTAGTCTTAGTCCTGTATCAAATGTCCTTGTTAGTTTTAGTCACCTTCATCCTGTTTTTATTTAGTCAAGTTTTAGTCGGCTAAAAGTCTGAGCATTTTCGTCAAAGACAACTAACTATTTTAGTCTACTTTTTGTCAATGAAAAAACTTTTTTAGTCATCAGATTATATAGAACATTTCAGTAAAACTAGTCTAGCCAAAACCAATAATTTGTCATTTTAGCATATATAAATAAATAAGATTATATCTTGTCCTTATTTGATGAAAAACACAGGTTGAATGATTAAGAATGCAGCTTTGCAGAGAGTCTGGTCAGGTGTGTGGTACCTGTGTTATGGCCACATTGCTTCCCTTCTGATAAAACAATGCATTCCTGTTTTTCTCCGCCTCATTGTAGCGAAAATGGGCCCAAATATCACATCGTTTCTTTCTCCCAAGCAGTGGTGGCGTTAGACTTTTTCGTTGTCAGTCATTTTGACGGACAGGATTGTAACATTTCCGTCATAATCCATTATTACCCAACTTGTCACTCACTCGCGGGGGGGGGGGGGGACGACACTGCTCCCAAACCCTGTTGTTGCCATTTTATTTTAAATAAGGTTCGTTATATCCGAGTCTTCCTGACAGTTCATATTGTGCCGCTGCCCGGTGTAATGTAATTGTACCGCCGCGCGCAGCACAGACACACAGCTGCTGCCCTGCCGCAGCACCGGAAATGGAACTGCTGGGAGAAAAACTGACTATCAGAGATGTAACGTTATCTTTGATAATATTTCGTCTCCTCATTTTTCGTCAACGAAAGTAAAGAGAGATTTTGGCATAGTTTTTATTTACTAAACTACATTTTCGTCTCGTCACTTTTCGTCAACGATATTGCATGATGATTTCGTTACAGTTATTGTTTACTGCCGTCTCGTCATCGTCTCGTTTTCGTCATGGAAAAAAAGGTCGTTGACGAACATATTTCGTCATAGTTTTAGTCAACGAAATGAACACTAGTATCAGTCTATGGCAGACCCAGTATGGGTGTGAGATGTTTAAGTCATTAAAGCTCTTGGAATAGAAGGAGAGACTCAATAGATTTGTCCCTCTGCTGTGATCACAAATCCTAAATAAGTAACTATTATTAGTCTGAGCTAATTGTAATTTGGATAGATTTGCTTTGTTAGCAACAGCAGCCAGATAATTTAAGAGGGCCTCAAATGGACTGCAAATCAATAAAATCATCAAACTACTGTATTGATGTTGAACCTTCTGGAAGGTAAAGATTGATGAGGCTGTCGCAGAGCACGCTGTGGAAAACCACATGACTAGAACTAGTTCTGATGTTGAATAATTAGTGAGGTTGATGTCATAACTGCTCGTATACATCACCCATTTTGCTGCGCAGCGTTTTTGGGATCCCGCCCAACAGGCCTAAAATCAGTAAACTGCATCTGATGATAAAACAACATCCTCCTATTTCACAGTGTGGAACGGACAAACTCCATCAAATAGTGATTGCTAAGGGACAGAGAAACACAGAAGCAGCAGCAGACTCTTCTGTCCAGGAATACAGACATTGTGGCTATAGATTCTACTAAAACTATATAATCCTGTTCTTTCAATATGCGTGATCAATTTAGATATTTTCAAAAACCTTCTGTTCCTTCATTGAAAAAGCAATTATTAACTGGTATTATTTTAGCTTTAGTTTCTAATGGTTGTATTGCAACCATTGTTTTTATGATCATGAGTTTGGGACTCACCAAACTTGTGGCTTCGGTTCCGTCTCTGGGTCCATTCCACCCTAACTCCACGTTAATGTCTTTCTCTTCTAACCCTACTTCTCTCCCTCTCTATTTAATTGTTTTAACTTATCGATGTCGCAAAACACTTTAAAACATTTTCTGAATGGAGATTTGATCTACCAGGCTAAGCTAACGTTGTATCTGCTCTGTCCAAACTCACAACAACGTCATACAGAGATAAATAAAGACTGTATTCGCCATGAGTCTGTGGTTTATTCATGTATAACTTTTATCCAGTTTCTGAACAGATATGAGGAGCTCTGAGTGCTAACAGCTAACGGCTGCTGTTCTGGTTTTCTGAATCAACGTCAGTGACGGCAGGCTGAGATCCTCACCACTGATTGGCTAACCTGAAAACGCATCATGTGAATTCGAAGCTCGAGTTGAAGAAATTGAACTCTTGCGTATGACATGAGTCGCATCAATCACGTCCTTAGTCTCGAGAGCTGCAGCACAAACTGCTCAGTGACATCATGGCTCACCTGGGTCTTCTCCTGATCGGTCCTTAAAGTGGAGATCTGACAGACAAAAAATAAGATTCATTTCTTGTCAAAGGTTTTTGCCTTCTAAGGGTGAGTTAACTCCAATGTCTTTTTTATATATCGCATAATATATATATAAAAATGTTGGTGCTGGTCCAATATTTGCTGTGTTTATAATTTTCCTTAAAAAAAATTGATAGGAAGGATATAAGAAGAATGAATAAAGACATTCTTCTTATCCATCTTTCAGGCTTTATTTGCATAAAGACTGAAAGACACAAGGAGTGAGAAAGTACTCACCAACATCCAGCTCAAAGTAGAATGTCTGAGGAGGCTGCAGACGTGGAAAATAACAGGTGTAGTTTCCCCTGTCGGTTGCTGTCGTGTTGCTGATGACGATGGAGGCGTTGCCGTGCTTCAGTTCTGCTGGGAAATGTGAGACTCGTCCTTTGAACTGCGGACTCTGACCTGAACGACCGTTGTTGTAATGGATGCCTGCATCATACATGAAAACCTCCTGAAAGACTTCTCCTCCAGGACCGACTTTTCTCCAGTCAAAGAGAAGTCTTTCAGCACCCATGTTGATGGATACTGGGAATAAAGCCTCTTCACCTTCTAGAACAACCACTCTGACGGAACCTGGGGGATAAAGCACATTTTAATCAGTATGCGTAAATACATAAATCAGATAAAGGCAGAAAAGTGGATAAAATGTTACCATGCCACCTCAGCTTAAAAGCAAAACATTTCCCTTTAATTGAGGAAGAGAACATATTTACTTGTTTCTTAGGATCGACCCCAATAATTCACTATTTGTTCATTCAGGTATTCAGTATTTGGGTTTAAAATAAAAAATAAATCTGAGTAGTGGGTTCAACCCCTCAGGATTACAAACGTGCATTAATCACCTTTTAGTAAATAGGCTTGTTTGAGACAAGCGATCTTCCATCTTGAGTACCGTCCCATGGCTCTTATTTTTGCCGGAGGACCGATAATGGAGGAGCGATAACCGAGGAACCACCAAACCATCCTCCGATGAAATCCTCAGACACTCGTTCCGCCCCCTTACTGTGTATCGCTCACTGATTGGGCGATGCAGTGCATGCACTGATCTGATGCTTCTTGACATGAGAGCCGTTTCCCAGCGGAGTGAAGAAAACACATGAAACTCACGGGAGTCACTCCTCAGTTTAAACCGTGTTTTGTTTCAATTCATGTTTCATTTAGTTACAAATATGTGATATATCTGAACAACAAAGTGGTCAAAAATCATTTTATTCATTTTTTGGAAACATTTTCATGATCGCTTTTTTCGTTTTACATTTTCATTTATTGTCATTTCCATTCAGTCATTAAGTGCTATTGAAATGTTAATGTGCTACATATCCACACAAACACACAAAGTGTGCAATCCAATGAATGTTATCTAACTGGGTTTTGATAGATAACATATCTCTTTTTCTTCTCTCAATTATTTTATTTCTATTGTGCACGCTAATCAATATTAATCAAACTATTGTTCGTTTATACATTTTAAGAATGGCGTTTATCTTTTTTGAGAATGTGTTCTTATTTAATTTAATGTATTTGGGTCTACAACAGATGATACAAATGTGTGTGTCAGTAAATGTGTACTAACAGAGGCGGGGGGGGGGGGGGGGGGGGGGGGGGTGGAAATAACAGGGACAGAGCTGCTGTCAGACGATCAGCTGTGCAGCGTCATCACAAACGGATGCTCTTAAAACTCATTTCCCTCCTTTTCGTGGGTTGCGTTCCGATAATCCAAAAATCAGCTCCTAAATTCTAACCCTATCTCCTATTCCTTGACCTCTGAGTGAAACGTCACGGGGTTAAGGGATAGTGGATAGGAGAATTCAAAAGGACTTAGGAGAAGAGACTGCGGTACTTTAGAGAATCGACTGCACTTTCACTATCCCACGTGTTTCTGATGCGCCAGCGGACGTCCTGAATGAGCGTCTGCTGCTGTGGGGAAACTATGGAAACTACAGTTCTCTATACAGCGGACTACAACATGGATGTTCAATAAGAACGAGGGACTCCTGTGAACTCATCTAGAGACTCTGTGCTCTGATGCTGCTGCTTTATGCTTTATGAACGGGGACAACAGAGAAACAGATTCTTCAGGACCAAAGCTGGAACTGAAATAAAAAAGGAAAGTGAAACTTCTGCTCGTCACCCTCTCCCTCCGGTCCACATTAATACAAATGATCCCAATACGTATGATTGATGAAAAGATAAATCAATACAGATGTATTTATTATAAACGTTAGTCCTTAACATCTATCACTGTGTATATCACCATTCAAACATCTTTTAAAAGTTGAACAAACCCCACAGCTCAGTAAAGACTGTGAGATGTTGACTTTATTTGATCATTTCAGTAAAAACTAACGTTCATATTTCTCTTTGATTATAATACTGATGAACGTTCAGAACAAAGCACTTTGGCAACTTACCACATACGTTTTAAAAAGCTTAATAAGCACCGTAACTTTCATGATATAATTTCTCCCATAATCGGTTGTGTCCGTGAACGGCCGACTGTTGAGTGACGGCAAATGCTGCGGCTGCAATGCATTGTGGGGCAGCATTTTCTCCTCTCCTTTCGGTTAGGGAGGTCCAGTGGTTCCTAAGCTAAAGGAGGTTATAAAGGAAGTTTGAAACCTCCTTTCCTTTCATTTGGAGAATTGGAACGACACTTATCATGGCTGCCACTGAGGGACTTCCGGGTCATTTCACTCCGTTAGGAAGGTTCCTAAGCTAAATGGACTATTGGAATGCAACCGTGGTTTCCTTGCATCTCTCCATGCTTCCCTGATGGGAGGGACTAGACGCAGGGAAACGACGCAAGGATTTCATTTAACCGACCTGAGACCAAGCCCCCAGGAAGTGCGCCGGACTCAGATGAAAATATTCGTGCTGGCCAAACGGCGGTACTACACTTCCGCTTGGTTGCCAGGCCCGGAAACACTTTTTCCCATTGACTTACATGGGGAAAGAGTGGTCTGTAGCTCGTTGGATAATTTTTTTTAAACTAAATAAACTACCCAGTATGAACACTTGTATAGCCCTTATTAAAAACATTCGTTCCTCAAGTTGTAAAAATGTGCTAATAACGTTATTCTGAGTTATTTCTAGGGTTGGGAACCGAAACTCGGTTCCAGATGAGAACCGATAAGAAAATGCCGGGTACCGGGTACCCATACAAAATACACAATTTCGGTTCTGCTTAACGGTTCCTAAACGCGGTAGACCCTGTATTCCAGCGGGTCCGTCTGCACCGCGGTGCTGCGGTGACCCGGTGGAATACAGGGCGGACCTGGAGAATCACAGAATGGCCGGTCGTCAGCGGGCCGTTGACGGCCGGCTCGGTACGCTGACGGCCGGCACCGCCCTTCATTTTTTTAAACGGCATCATATAAATTGCGCTGACAGGCGACAGAGGTCCACAGTTGCCCCGCAGCGATGCTCCCCCGCCCTCCCGTAGACATTTCACGAGCTCAGTCACTTCATAACACCAAAGATAGGTCGCGGTAAACACTCTGAAGTGAGGCTCCACTACACTAAAAAATAAAAAGAAAAGGCAAAGTGTAATGCCTGTTAATAGCTTGCCACAGGCATAGCTCAGTTAAAATAAAGCACAGCTATTGTGCAATACATTTGTATTGCATGTATATTTTTTAGTAACAATTTCAGTTAAAGCTTTTAAGAATAAATATATTTTTGTTATCTAAACGTTTGACCTCTTTATTTTACAATTTTGGAATCGAAACGGGGAATCGATAAGAACCGGAATCGATAAGCAGAACCGGAATCGAAATCGGAATCGATAAATTTCAAACGATACCCATCCCTAGTTATTTCCCTCTGCATTATGAACGCGAATCTAACCCACGGGGCCGCGCCGCCCGGCACATTCACGTTACTGTCCCAACCAAACAGGGAGGGTGGGGGCTGGAGCTTTTGGAGCTACAACGAGCCGTTAAAGGCAGAGAGTGAAATTCAGTGAATACACGTAGTTTACAGAGATGCTGTATGAGGAACCAATGTGAGTTGCGTTTATCTTTACCCATGGATGCACAATAAGAACGGATCCATATCGTCTTACTGCCATCCCACGGAGCTGTAATAATGGATATATTGCACATGTTTGCTGTAATTCATTATCATACTACATGGGCTGTATGATTAAATCTTGTACCGTAAATGTTGTATTAAATAAAGTTAATATTACTTATTATTATAAGTATATATATATATATTATATGCAATAATTATTTCATGCTAAATGAAGCTCTGTTGGATATCACTAGATCCTGTTACAGCGTAATATAAGTACATAACGATTGATGTTACATTAGCATCATTACTAGCTAGCCGCTAGCTGCTAACTGCCGCCTCGTTCATATCAAATCCATCTTAATAACAATCCATTACCATGCTGTCATGAACGCGCGGTGCTGTTACGTGTACGCAAATTGACGTGCTTGATGTGAACGAGCATTTTGGTCAAAGTTGCGCATGCTCTATGAGTGCACATACGGGTACTTCTCAGGCATGCTGGGTAATCTGTGACGTTTCACTCTCTCAAAAGTTGGGCCATTTTATCATCATGCGCTAATGAGCAACTCTCATAGGAATGAATGAGGCCCCGCCTCCCACGCTGTATCCGGGGCTGCTTCTCAGGTCGATTAAATGAAATCCTTGCTTCCCTCACTTGCGTCGTTTCCCTGCGTTTAGTCCCTCCCACCAGGGAAGCATGGAGGGACGCAAGGAAACCACGAGAAGCAGGGAAATGAGTTTTAAGAGCAATGGGACGTCCTTTCCTCCGGAGCGTCACGTGAAGCGACGTCCGTTTGTGATGACGCTGCACAGCTGTTCGTCTGGCAGCAGCCAGCTCTGTACCCGTTATTTCCACAAACACCCCCGCCTCTGTTAGTACACATTTACTGACATAAACATTAGTATCATCTGTTGTAGATCCAAATACATGAAATAAAATAAGAAGTCATTCTCAAAAAAGATAAACGCCATTCTTAAAATGTATAAACGAAAAAAGCGATCATGAAAATGTTTCCAATAAATGAATAAAAAAATGTTTGACCACTTTGTTGTTTAGATATATCACATATTTGTAACTAAATGATACATGAATTGAAACAAAACACAGTATAAACTGAGGAGTGAGTCCCGTGAGGTTCATGTATTTTCTTCACTCCGCTGGGGTATTGCTCTCATGTCAAGAAGCATCAGATCAGTGCATGCACTGCCTCGTCCAATCAGTGAGCGATACACAGTAAGGGGGCGGGGTGAGTATCTGAGGATTTCATCGGAGGATGGTCTGGTGGTTCCTCGGTTATCGCTCCTCCATGATCGCTCCTCGCTCCTCGCTCCTCGCTCCTCGGTCCTCCGGCAGAAATAAGAGCCATGGGACGGTACTCAAGATGGCGCAGGCAAATCAACTTCCGGTGAGACCGAGGACCGAGGAGCGAGGAAATGAAAATAGTCGACCTGAGAAGCAGCCCAGTTCTTATTATAGCCTACATCCATGCCTGAGACGGGGCCCTGCTCTGGAGG